AGGCCTCCTGCTACACCAGTACACATGTAAGGAGGCTCAAAACCACCTGTAACTCCAGCTCCAGAGCCTCCAATGCCTCTGGCATCTGAGGGCACCTGCATTCATGTAAATGGGGGGGGGACAAACTGTATTGTGCTTTATGCACTTAATATCTTATTACCTCCATTTTTTTAAAATGGGGAAGAAACAGAACATGGTGCCCTAGAACACAGACCAGCTTGATCTACATAGAGAGTTACAGGACAGCCAGGGATACATAGTGAGGCCCTGTCTCAAAAAAATAAATAAATAAATAAATAAATAAATAAATAAATAAATAAATAAGTAAATAAAGTAGGGAACAGAGAAATAGGAAAAAAAGCACATACTGTCTCACAATGTCTGTGGTCAGGACCCAGAGGTGGCTTAGTTAGGTTCTATGCTTTGAATCTCACAGGCCGTAAGCCTGGTGGCCTCTGGACCTCACTGTCTGTGAAGCTGTGGAAAGTCCAAACACACCTCAGTGGACCATACTTTTTTAAAGACCCATATCTTTTCAAGATAAACACTAACTTGCTTACAAAAATGGCAGGATGTCTGAGTTGCTTGCCCACAGGAAATCAAGGTGAGTCAAGAATTAAAGATGGCCCTCGCTTAGGGAGGGAGGATCACTGTTCTACCCTCTCTATTGTTGTGGATGCTTGAACTTTCACAAAATTTAAAAGATTCTTTCAGGGGCTGGCAAGATGGCTCAGCCAGTAAAGTTACTTGCTGTATAAGCTTGACAACATGAGTTCAATCCCCAGAACCCATGTAAGGGTGGAAGGAGAGAAGCAATTTCACACACACACACACACACAGAGAGAGAGAGAGAGAGAGAGAGAGAGAGAGAGAGAGAGAGAGAGAAGCAAGAATGCCCCCCATATACACATACATATGCACACACACATGTAAGAATAATTTTTTTTAATTTTGGTTTTGGTTTTGAGACAGGGTCTCCCCATAACCCCAACTAGCCTAGAACTCACTTTGCAGACCAGGCTGGCCTCTGTCTCACACAGATCTGCTTGCCTCTGCCTCCAGAGTGCTGGGATTAAAGGCATGTGCCATCTCACCCAGCTAATCTTTAATTTTTTTATAAATAAAAAAAATAAAAATATTCCTTTAAAACACTCAACCCAGAGCTGGAGAGATGGCTCAGCAATGAAAAACACTTACTGCTCTTGGAGATGATCCAGTTTCAGTTCCCAGAATCCACACAGCAGCTCACAACCACCTCTGACACCCTCTTCAGGCCTCAACAGGAACCAGGCACACATGCAGTACACATACATGCAATCACTCACACATACACATAAAATTAAACTTATTAAAAATTAAAAAAAAAAAAAGCCAGGCACGGTGGCACACGCCTTTAATCCCAGCACTCGGGAAGCAGAGGCAGGCAGATCTCTATGAGTTCTAGGACAGCCTGGTCTACAAAGTGAGTTCCAGGCCATCTGGGGCTACAGGGAGACCCTGTCTCAAAAAGACTAAAAAAAAATTTAAAAAGCATTCAACCTCTGACTCCACCAAGATGACAAACATTATCCTGAACTTTTACCACTGCACCTGTCAAAGGAAAGTCTATCAAAGGGGAGGCATAAAGAAGGGAACTAAGATCTTCAGATGCTCAGGTTTAGAGATGGAGGATGATGTTGATGGCAAGTGTCCATTCCTGTGGCTCTGTGAAACTGGGCTGTGAAGCAAAGGGTGGGTCCGGGAAGGAACAGATCCAAAGTCTAAAGCAATAAAGATGTTCTGATCCCCACCTCTGTCTCTGTGGGCGAGGCAGCTCCCGATGGAAAGGCATGGCTGAATCTCAGAGTAGAGATCCCTGAGCCAGGTGAGTGCCCCCTCCGCACAGCACAAACAAAGGCTGGAAGGGTATTTAGGACCTCATGTGGGGTTCAACCTAGAAGTGAGCCTTTTATACCTCATGCCAGTCAATAGCTACAAGGCTGGAGGTGGGTGTAACTTGACCCCCAGAAGGGAGCAGGCATGAACACTTAAACATCACAGCAGCTGAAGAGGAGGTACCCCATGTTATGGAGTTCTGGAAAGTGGGGCTACCATCAGTCTCTCCTGAGGGAGGAATTCATCACTGGGAGCCCCAACCTACTGCCAGTTGGTGACCCTGAGCGTGGAAAGGAGTGCCACCCCTTCTCTGACCCTGGAGACCTTGATCGCATACAGAGACAGTTTTGAGAAAGCAGAGAGGGAAAGAACTTTTGAAGACCACTTTCTGTTTCCAGCAGACTGCAGGACTCTACAAGTAAGGACCTCTCTTTACATCAAGTGCTGAGCCCTGAGGCCCCAGAAGGAGGCCCTTATGCACACACCCGGGCTCTTATCTAACTGGCATAGCCAAGATCCCAATCTTCTAAAGGTGGCCACCAGCAGCCTCTCAATTCCTGCCTTTCTCTGTTTGGCATGCCTGCACACATGTACTGCACATATGTATATGCATACACATGTGTGCACATGTACAGGTACACACACAGCAGCCCTCCCTGTCCTCTTGGCTTCCACTGCACATTCTGATTAGCATCATATTCACAGGCAGGTTTTCTCTGCCTGCCAGACCCAGATCTTCCATGGACAGATCTTACTCATTCCTGCCTAAGTGCCCTGGTGTCCAGCTCAGGGTTCCGTAGACAAAGCCCTGAAGGGAAGTCTGGAGTGTCAGCTCACAAGCTCCACACACTGGGTGACGGGCCCTCTCCACATCCTTCCCAGCCATCAGGAGCCTAGAGCTCTCAGACTCTTCTCCCCACCATGAGCAGGAGTCAGGTGGAGGCAATGAACTTGGCCCTCCTGATAGTGAGGATGGGATCTGTCTTATCGGAACTGGACAACAGCCAGCTGAGATTCCAGGAGTGTGGCAAGATAGTGGTAACACAAGCATTTATTGCTAAAGTCCAGGCTCTGCACCTGGCAAATATCCCACTTAGTCCTCACAGCCCACCTCTCAGGCAGGCGCAGCATTCCCGTGTGCCGTGGAGGGAGACTCAAATGCCAAGACACAGCCACCTGCCCCGGGTCAAAGCTCCCTGGAGCAGATCCAGGGTTGGGTCTGATTTGCCCACTTCTGGACTCATGTTCTGGACTACCAGGTGTCTGGAGAGCCGTACCAGCTCTGTACCTGCATCCCAGAGCCTAAGGAAAAAGGGGATGTTATGTGACTGAATATGTAGCACCAAGACACTGGGGTCCCTGAGATGCCAACAAGCTAGGCCTTTGGGTCCTGAGCTGGCTAAGGAGCCTGGGAAAGGGGACATTAAAGATTCCTCTCTGCCCCTCCCACCCTACCTTCCCACCTTCATGCCAAAGTGGTCCTACCCCAGCCCTAGAGGCAAGGGAGTAAGCAACAGGGCACAAGCTTTTTAGAGGTTAGTGACAAGAGGTTTAGAAGATGGTTTCCTAGAAAAGCCTGAGAGAGGAGGGTTAGGGGAAAGAAAGAAGCACTATGGAAGCCACCAGCAGACTGGGAGGGGGCAGGCTAAGGTCTCAAGTTCACTCCACCTCCTGTGAAGTGGAGAATTTCACAAGAGTCAGTCAGGAACTACATATAGTGTGGGGACTCAGGTTTGCTTTGCTTAGCGGGGGACCTGCTGGCTTCGGGGCAGAGGGTCTGATCGGCGGTGACAGAGTCAAACTCTGGGACCTGTGTCTTCCCAGCAGGATGATTTATTTTAGAATTCATATGGTTTTTATACATCCCAAGAACTAGCAGTCACGTGGGATATTACAGTCACTTACAAAGATTTAGGGTACAAAGAAACAGTACAGTTAGTCTGTTAGTTGGCGCCAGGATTCTTAAACTTTTACTCAAGGTTATCAATGCCCATCCAGTAATTTATTGGCCACAATGTTTTCTTTCTTAAAAGCATGGTAAACTTTTAGCTTTTAGCTCAGGAGTAAACCTTTGACCTGGCCTAATCTCTTAGCCAGGGATAGCTGAGTTATTTGTTTAGGACAAGGAGATGAGCTAAGGGTTGTTGATCAAGACGCTTTCCCACAGAGCAAGGAGACTGCACTTTTATGACCAGGCTGCCTCCTCCTGCCAGCCCAACAGTGTTCTGCAAGGCAGGGATTATCAGAGCCACTGTTTTCAGTGCCCCTCCCTTTTAGCAGAGAATGTAGCCTGGACCTATAAGTTTTAGGCTCACCTCACCCTAGGGCCTGGCATCCTGGTTTCCTACATCTCCTCCCTTTTTGTTTTTTAAAAGTAAGAAGGAAGTGGTCATAGAGGGTACAGTATTATTAACCGAAAGTACAATACAGCGCATAGCGATTGGAGCTCCCATAAGAAGGAGTATGCCAATCAATATTGGGCCCAAGAATGGAGTAAGCCATTGGAGCCATTTTGGCCAAGGTATAGAAAATTCAGACATCTTATTAATTTCCTTTTGTAAATCATTAATCTGTTGGTCTTTAGCATGTGAAAAATCTGACAAATTAAAACAACACCTTCCTGGAAATTGTTTACATCACATGTGATTTTTTAACAGCAGATAGTCTATAGTAGCTCTATTTTGTAGCACAGCAGTTCTTAGTTCTCCCATTTCCTGATTAATTTCTCCTAGTATTTTTGCAGTTATGTTTGCTGTTTTACTAGTTATACAAGCAAGTTTAGATATTTCATTTTGCAATCCAGTTACTAAACCAGGTAGGGGGAGTAAAAAGACAGAACTAACAGCTACAGCTTTTTGGTCAAGTAGCTTGAGAGAATCATCACAGTCTTCAGGTAAAGATCTATGCATTCTTTTTACAGGAGGGGTTATTAGCAAAGGCATTATACGTCCTATAGCACATAATCCTTGATATCCATAAGGCAGTGATACATAGGTTTCATTATTGCAAAAGAAGGTCAACCCTACAGGCAATTGTTTCCCATGCTTTAAGGTATGATTAGAGGTGGTATTGCAGTGCAAGGGAATAAACTTATAATCAGAACACAAACAGTGATTAACAATAACATGAGGTACAGGTAAGTCTTTGACTATCTTATCAACACGTTGTGTTTGACTTTCTATATTGTCCCTAGTTATCTGTTTATAAAAATCCATATGTACCCCCATTCCTATTAGATTTTTCTTTATCTCTGCAACATGTTGTGTTTGACTTCCTATATTGTCCCTAGTTATCTGTTTATAAAGATCCATATGTACCCCCATTCCTATTAGATTTTTCTTTAACAATCCTGGTATAGAAGGGTCTCCTCATATACAGAAACTCTGTTTATTATAACCCTTTTGTGCAAGATGAACCCATAAATTCCCATCCAAATCATTAGACATGGACAGGCTGGTTTGTTGCAAAGATGTGGTTGATCTAACTACTTCAATATCTTTAAAAGGTCTCTTTTGTTTTTTTACACAGCTATGATTTCCAGTATCTTCTAATGTCAGTGCCTCTTTAAAAATACTGAAATCATGCTGCTTTTTTAGGCTCTGGTCAGTAGCATTTTTATAACATAAAAATTCTCTATCCATTTGGCTATATATCCTCTGTCCATCCTTTTCCCATATGATGAGTCCAGGTGGCCATGCACAGTTTTGTGTAATACATTCGAGTACTAATCTTGATCCTAAAATAGGTACACCATTAATATTAGTACTGATGG